AGGAAGACACAGGTTACTACCTCCATTACAAACTTTTGGGGAAATTACCTTTCTCTGTATGAGTCATGGATTTCTTCTTTCCATGAGTCCCTAGCAGAAGCTGTAGGCTGACATGCAGCTGAAGGGTTACTACTTAATTGCTCTACATTCGTCATCTGGACAATGTTGGGTGTAGACTCATGTAAGAACAGCACCAACACTCACAGTTCGGTGATGTATCCACTGACTGTGCCCATACTCCAGGGTTCCTCCCAGCTCCCGGGTCAGCTGACTTTTGTCAATATAGCCATGCAGATCAGAGACAGAATTTAACATGATGATCTGAAACAAATCCAAAGACAATGGACTGAGAGAAATAATGAGCCCTTTCAATCATTGTTCCTAGGATCTGGGTTTGTCTTAAACTGATATGACCAAACTGCAGTTCCACTGTAGGCAGTAAGTTCTCATTAAGTATTTGTTCAGAGTTTATTTCCACTAGATTTTGCCTTCTCAACATGTACATGGCCATTCTTCAAGTAACCTTCATTTGGAATTATCTTGCTCCTTGCTTGACTGAGGATACAGTCTCTTTGCACATGCATCAAGAGCAAAAGTATGGAATTGATAATATTCACACAAACTTCCATCAAATAATTTCTGCATTTTCTAGATAACTGTTATCTACAGAGAAATGGAGGAGCAGGAAGGTTAAACAGTTTCCTCAACACCAACCACTTGATCCAGGGAAGTGCTGAAATGAAATCACAGAGAATAAGATTTTCCTTTCAGTTGCATCATTTTTATGACACTGTATGTCTACTGAGCTCACTGGTGTTATTCCATTTTAAACCATAATGAAAAAGACAACCCTAAATCCATTTTCTTAATTTAAAGACTTTTCTAACTAGCAGACCTGCTTAATGAAAGCAAAATATTTGCATTCACCTTCAGGTAAGCAGTATTCCCTTTTGGCTATCACTTTAAATCTGGCAAAACAAGTTGTTACACAAATCACATAGATGTATTCAATTGTGACTTGTTCTAAGAGCTAGAAAATACACCATGATTTCAGCAACAGGTTGAGTAGAATTTACTAGAAATTTTAAGTCTTAGACTTTAATATATGCCAACTGTATTACTTCCCTCTGCTGTTTAGGATAACTGGCTGTGCCTGTCAGCAGGCTCCAAGGGAGCATGGTAAGTACACTTGCAATCACCGTGGACATGAGATGAGCACAGATGTACGGAGGCAAGAGGATGCATATTCCAGGCTGATACTGCTCCAAGAAAAGCACAAAGTACCAAAGCTCTTCCCTGAATGTGTTACCAAACGCTGTTTTTGTTATGATCAAAGCCAGAAAACTCAAAAAACTAGATATTTAGTGTGAGGGTGATGAGACACTGGAACAGGCTGCCCAGGGAAGTTGTGGAAGCCTCATCCCCGGAAACGTTCAAGACCAGGTCGGATGGGGCCCTGAGCAACCTGATCTAGTGGGACGTGTCCCTTCCCCTTCAAGGGGATTGGAACTAGATGATCTTTCAGGTCCCTTCCAACTCAAACCATTCTATGATTCTATGATCATCTTGGAGCAGCTTCAGACTGGAACATGAAGTCTATGCACTATTTCTGAATTGTAAATCATCCTTTGAGAAAGTAAGCCTTAACTGCTTGGTAGCTCTAACCTATCAGAGATGTCACTGGACATCTTTTCATACTCCAAACTTCACTGAAATTATAGAGGAGCATTCATGCATTTTTCTTTTAGGAAGCTGTTTGTCTCGACCTGACATACTCAGCAGGACCCACAAAGCAAATCTATTAAACTTGCCAGCTACAGTGCTACCCAACAGGGCATGAGTCTTCACCCTGCAGGCATTTCTGCAGAAGAAAGCCTAGAAGCAATACAACATCCAAGAAACCACTATTACAGAGCATTAGTGTCTCCCGTACTTCTTGCCTGACTGAAGATAACCACATTCAGTAAGCTGGAGAATATAACAGAGTAGGATTTTAGAACAGCCTGCAAAAGCAGGTCAACACGGATCACAGAGCCACAGTGGGGTTGCTTCATGATGGGTTAGGCCATCTGAAAGAAGTCACAGTCTACAAAATCTGAAGAAGTACTTGCTATGGACAGACTAGCCAGCCTTTTGTGTATACTAAGATACTTAAGTTCCTTTCAGGGGCAGTTCTTAGGTAAATCTCTAGGTGTTCCTTTTGAGTTCCCAGATTCCATCTCAAATGAACCCATGTGTACCTCCAATATTGCTGTATCTTGCTCCTGGGTAATGTTATCTAATCAAATAACTATCCCAATAGAGATTTACCTCAGGAGGTTTTATTAACCACATTCATATGTCAATACATCACCTAAATCTTGCTTTTCCTTATTGTGTCTGGTTTATTATTTCAGGCTTTATTTCCTGTTCCTGTTTGATCTTCTGGCTTCTACTCTATCCAGTGTTGATTTAACCCAGCAAATCCATTTTGCTAAACATATTAGCTCAGATAAACTGTTTAACAAATATTTCCTTAACAAAGGGACACTACATTCCTGAAATCTCTTTTGAATTCTCATGTCCTGGCCCGGACTCACTTAAGTTGTGATAGGAAATGCAACCCATCCATGGCTCAGTGACAACATTCATGTTGTCATAGTGCCAAAATCACAACATGAACAACCAACCCACAAACAATTTAAAAGATAATGTTGGTATTAAAGATAGGTACTGATACCTAATTCCTTGAGTGGAATCTCCCATGGGACAAGAACTCTCTGTCCCTGCTCTCATACTTGGCATGTAAGATAATATTTTCAATGAGGACAAATGGATGTTTCTTTCAGTAACCTACCTGTTCTGAAGCTGGGCTACACAAGGGCATGCCCAGATAACCCTTATAGGAGGAGCTGCAAACACAACTTAAAGACCTCCAGAGAGCAAGGCAGACCCCAGGAATATAGGACACCTTTAGCACAACCCTAAGGAACTTAGGATAGCATCAGGCATATGTGGACAGCTTTTATATACATCTGAGAGGCTGCTTGCACATATCTGGGCAGGAGGCAGACAGATTTGGCAGATATCATGCTTTTGGTTTTTGTAGGACTACAAAGAGCTCAGTGGACATATCCAAGGTGGCTCAAAATTTGAACGTCCAAACTAAAAAAATATCTTTATTTTCCTCCTGTAAGAAAGGTAAGTTACTATTCAATACTTAATGCAACACTCAACCCTTGCCTAGAGTTAGCATCTCTTCCAACTTTGATTGCTTCAAGTTGGATTTGAAATGCAACACTGGCATCAAATAAACTGCTACAAGTACAGAAAATGTTGAATTGCTAGAAAATGCTAGTCTTTGATGAAGTTGTGTCTTCCTGGGCTGCAGTCACTGATACAACTGTTGCTATGGTAACAGATTGTGGCTTATTAAGAACAGGAACACCCTTTTTCCAAGGTGAAATAAAATAAAAATGTTTTGGTTTGTAATAAAACATACATTTTTCACATCAATTTTGTATTTTATTTACCAAAATGCCACACTTGCCAAACTACAGTTAATGTTACAATTTCATCCACAACAGCATAATGAATATTCATGGTTCCTTTTTTCTATGCATCTTAATAAATGGGTTGCTGTCTCTTACTTCCACAGAAGCTTAGAGTGTCTTAACCACCTGAACTTCAAACTTAGGTATTGACAGAGCTAGAATTCACTGGAGGAGAGCCATGAGCTGTTTGAAAAACAATATAAAACCATAAGCAAAACCCAAAGTAATCATATGAAATCACTCCAATAAAGTCATTGTGGAACACTGTATGACTCTGTTCCAGGATGAAATACCATTAACAATCATCAATCAAGTTTATTTATAAAACACCTTGAAACCACATGCAAACATGCAGCTAGGAATAACTCCCAAAAGAGCTTTAGCATAATCTAAAACTTAAAGTGTTTCAGGATTTATAAGCTGTTGCAAATCACATTCTCATCAACCTACAGTATATGCCAAGTATATGTAGAAAACAAACTTTGTATCTTGAGGGCACGGGGATCATAAAAGTCATGAAGAATAGGCAGAGCTATGTAGGCACTTAACAGGGGCACTGCCAGATTGTCATAAGTCCCATGGATAGTCCATAAAATAGTGCAGAATTCAGCCCTAATCTTTTACTGCTCTGTAACCCTACGTAATTATGTTTGTCACTGGAGTGAGAAGAACTACCTGTACCTACATCAGGGGAACAGCTAAACTGAGTTAAGATCCCAGTACTTAAAAAACAACCCACATTTTTTCATTGCATGGACCTTCCATGTGGGAACGTGTCCATTAAATACTGCGAAGCATCCACTGGTAATTAACTCTTTGGCATTACCATTCTACACACCGTACAGACTCAGATCAAAGTCCCCAGTTGCTACTTGCAATCAAATTTCATTTACTGGGTTATGAGAAATTGCTGACACTTAAGAACTGCAGACATGGAGATAAAGAAAACACATGGACAAAACAAAATCCATGCTTACCGGTACCTTCATTTTAAAGTCATCTCGATAGAGCTTAATGCCGATGTCAGCGATTGTCCTTTGGATGAAGCGGGAGGGTCGCAGGACAAACACCAGCTGCAGGTTTCCTGGAAATGCTCCCTGTAAGAAATACAGAACCCTTAGAAGGCAAAACTTTGCCTTACATGAAGGCCAAGGGAATTTTCAGCCAAGCATTTCCTAAAGGAGGCAAAGAAGGCAGCTTTTATTGCAACTTTTTCAGTCCACCCGCTAATTATATCAGCTGGTCTATTCAGCACATGCCCATTGTCCCAGTATCCAAAGCCAACAGAAAGACTGAACCATGGATTTTACTGCCCAGCCATACATTGCTTTCTGATGTGGACTTAGCACAGAATTCTAAAGTTTCTGCACTAGTGCCTTCCTCCCCCACAGGAAGCCTCCTTTGCACCAGCACACCATACATTTTCCCATTTTTTTAGGCTGCAGCCACTAGAGGGCAAAACTGTCTCCCTACAGAAACTGGTTGGACTTGGTGAACGAACCTGGTGCCACAGGTGAATCCCCCAGACTGATCTACCTCCTCACTCTGGAAAGGGTTTTTAAATCTTTTTATCCTCATGTTTTTCTACATGCAGGCACTCAACCTCTTCATCAAACATGGCCTCATCTGTGACAGCCATCCTACGTCTCTCACTGCAGTCCTCTGAGCTCATCAAGCACAAGAAAGAACACTTTCTAAAAGAGAGCAGCTAAAATAACCAAGAATGAAAAGCAATTCTGTCTAAATTCCTTGGAAGAACTTAGGGCGCCTTGGTCATTCTACACTTCTGCATATAAGAGCTTGCTCCTCATACAGCACATGTTCCTGGTAATAGACGTATAAAACCAGTAGCTTTTCTAAGTACTGAAAATCAGTGCTTAGCTCTCACTTTTGCACATGAGGTATAATAAGCTATTAAGAAAGCTATTAAGAGTTTCTGACAGAGATCACTTGCTACCAACCAAACACAAGTCCCTCAGGACCTGTTTTCGTAAGCAGCCCACGTCATCACTCAGTGCACAGAAGTTACCCTTGTTACACTCTTCTCAAAGCCAACTTCAAATTACTAGAACTTATATTGCAGTCAACCCAGCAAATAAGGAACCTGTCCTAATTCAGCACTAAACAAGGCTGTGTAAATTGTTAATGCAGCTTCCTCCCTCTCTAATTTAACACTCGTGAGCTTCAAGGCAGGGAAGAATCTGCATCCACAAACAGAAAATGGGAGCTAAAAATGAGCACACGAGAGTGTATCCTGTGCTG